AATAAGTGAATTCCAGTTTGAACCCGATCCTTTTATGCGGATCAATAGGAGTCGACGGGTTTTAAACCATCAAACAAATATATGATGGTGGAGACTAGTATATGTCTTAATACATTCATATTAGGTCTTTAAGGCCTATAATAATGAAAATTCGCTAATAAAGGCATGAAGCCTACGAAACCCGATCCTCTGCCGACAAATGGGTAGAGTCGATAAGGTTCAATCCATAAATAAAAATGACCCCAAATACCCTAATGATGACCGTGTTGAATGCAGATCTCAATCAGATGGGTGATTCAAACACTTTTAATATTCCACCTCAAATACCTACCAAAATCCAAATTTTAGAAAACCCCAATTCAAAATATTTTAAACTGAAATCAATCTATCAAGTCACTTAAAGCAAAATCCATCCATCCTCCACAACAGTTTGATGAGGTGGATAAATTAAAATTATTTTAGCTCACATAGAGCTAAATGCCTAGTAAAAAATATCACTATAATCCATTCTCAAACAATCTCTTGCCAGTAAGGATGGTATGTGTCATCTGACCGGTAGTTTCACCGTCAAATGGCACTGCATGATAAACGATTATGACTTGGGGCCCTCTTAACTGAGTGTTTTTGCCGCCAAATGGCGCCACGAGATATTGATTATGGTAAAAGTCAATACGCTCCTTAGTGGCATCAAATCCTTGATATATGAATCAATATGATACGATCGATAAGACACAAAGCCCTCTGTTAACTAAGGTGGATTCAAATTTATCCTCTTAGACAAATACCCACCCCAGGTCTACAAGGTCCCCTTGGACGAAGCAACCCATGGCTGCCGACAAGGATCCTTCTGTCAGGTTGGGTCGACTACCTCCTCTGACTAAGTAGACCATAGATCACGATGGCCCGGGATGACGGAACCATGAGATCTTTATCGGGTCCATCATCCATTCCCCCACCATCCGCTTTAAGTGAAAGGTGGTGAAATTTTCTATTTTAAATATCAAATCTTTCAACCCAACAAACTTCAAATATCCAATCTCCAATATTCAACCCATGCTACTACTAGAGCCAGATACTACATATTCTTTACGTATCTGATTGACGACTACCTTAATCAAAAGTTCTCTCTCGTGATCGGGAGGGGTAATTAACTATAGGGGCTTAAGCCTATAGGAAACCAGAACTCATATTATAAAGTCCTCATAAAATGAGGGCAAAATCTATGGGTAGTGTCTTATCTACAAACACATATGCCTTCCAAAATTTATCCCATAATCTAAATTCGTTAAAACTCCCTCGCCGAAGAAAAGAAATAAGTCGGGCGGAGGCCGGGGCCGAATTTTCGGAGCCCACAAATCTGCTTGGTCTTCAAGTCCTGGATTTGGTAGCCACGTGAGGTAAAAGAAATAATGCAAGAGTTGTCACGAGTTAGTTGGTGAACCGATAATAGGTTAAAAGATAAATTTGGAATGTGAAGGAGATTAATAAGTTGAAGACTACCTGAGGGTGTTGGTAAGATCCCTTTGCTCGTGTGGTGTATGGATATGCGATGACTGTTGCCTAATGTGACTTGTGAACTACGTTTGTAAGGTTCGACGGAGGAGAATTGGGAGGGATCAGAGGTAAGATGCATAGAGGCTCCGCTATTTAAGAACCAATCAGCTTGATGATTTTGATCAGTTGGGCTGAAGAAGGCTTGTGATGGAGATGATTCATTGTATGCTGGGTCATGAAGATACCAACATTTCACAGCAGAGTGGGCTCTCTTTGTGCAAATTTGGCAAACGATATTTTTGTATTGTTGTTTTTCAATTCGATCAGGAGCAGCGGTTGGCTGATTGTTGCGAGCAACGGGTCGAGCGTGATTGGCATTGTTTTGCTTGCGTCCCCAACCACGGGTAGCAGGGAGGGACACCGAGTTATCGGTGAGATGAAGGGATTGAAGTTCTTTGGAGGTTTCTAGGGCGAGATTAACTTCTTCTCTACAAATAAATGTGTAAAGATCATCAAGATTTATGGGTTGCAGATTGGTGCGAATTGTAGTTTTGAAAGCTTGATATGATGCTGGTAAGCCGTTAAGTGTGTAAACAATTACATCCTCCGGATCTATGGTGCTTCCAGGTGCAGAAATCACATCGATTTTGGATTTGACGGTGAGTAGGTATTGTGATATGGATTGCTCGCCTTTGGAGAGATGATGGTGTTCGTTCTTTAATTGGATTAAACATGATCGAGTCGAAGCTTGCAACCGATGGGAAAGAGTAGCCCAAATGTCGGTGCAGTGGTTTAGGGATAAAACATAAGGTAGAATTGAAGGTGTGATAATGGATAACAAGGCACCTGAGAGGTTTTGATCGAGATGATTCCAGAATTCAAGAGACGGGTCATCAACGTTGGGCGGTTTGTGTGACCCATCAAGAAATCCTTTGAAGCCATTGACAACAAAGATTTTCTCAACTTGTTATTTCCACAATGGGTAGTTATCGACTGTTAGAGGAATGGAAACCAAGTTCTTGATGTTTCTAAGAACAAACTTGAGTTGGGGCGGTATATCTATGGGAGAAGGGATTGGCGGAGCTATTCGTCATAGGAGATGTGGTGGAGGAACCGGCCATGATATTTTGAACGAAAGACTGAAGAAAGAACATGAATCGAAAAAGAATGTAGGGATGGAGAAAGAAGATGAGGAAGGAAGGGAAAGAGGACTTATTTGTGCTCTGATACCATGATAGCTCGAGCAAATGGGATCTTCGGAGACCCAAGAACAGAGACGAAAAATACAAACTAATTTCATTACAGAGCCTAAGATACAACCTAGTATAAATAAATACATATGGAGTAAGTTGTACTTGCGAAACAACAAAGATACACTAAACCTAGTTGTATTTATTTACAAGGCATAACCAGAAAAAAGGTTTAATATTATAACAAAATGCATAAGAAAAATGACGGCTGCAACTATAAATCATTTTCTTAAATACAAAATAAAGATTTTTTTAATCGATGATATGTCTAATTGAAAAACTTATTCTATTGCTTTATTGAACGGAAGGAAGCTTCTGGAAAATGAAGCCTCTAAAAGAATATACGTAATATTCGCAGCCATAGGAATTTGGAAGCATGTGGAGTGTTGGTCGACGCTCGATTGCGTTAAGAATAAAGGCTTTTTTAGTCTTTTGGTTGAATTAAAAGCGTTTACATCATATGTTATGTAAAGAAAGCAAAGCATATGCTCTTTGACTCTTGAGATCCTTTCAATGAACTATGTCAAAGTATATATATATATATGCTCTTTAATTAGATGTAGAATTTCAAGTCATCAACAATTTCCAACTTCAACTTCCCTTCAGCAAAGCAGGTTTTTATTGATGATCTCTTGCTCTGACTTACACAGGCAAAGCAAAGGTACCATCACGAATTCGGTTTCGTTTGTGACAGCTTTTTTGTTGCTTTTTAAAATAGTTTTCTAGTATAAAAATTTTAATTTTGTACTTAAAATGTTATTTTAAGAAGCAATAAAAAACTGTCCCAAACGAAACCTTCATTTGGCAAAATAGAATTCCAGCGATGTTGACTTCATCTCAAGTTGAGCTCTCTAGTCTGAGTAGGAATGCTCATGCTCGACGTGAATTCGAGCTAGTTTCATGGACTCAACTTCTTACACCCCTAGTGATAGATATTGTATAGCTTTACTTTCAAAAAAATCTTTAAATTATTGTGACAACCATATAATTATGCAGGTTGATCAAATAAAGTTAAAAATGAGTCAAACTATTATCACAACATATATATTATCAATCACTTATATTACAATACAAGTCTCAAAATACAAAATTATCCAACAAAATATAATGACCCAAAAATATATAATTAGGCATTCAAGTGTACATGAAAAAAATTATGCAAAATATTTAAAACATAACAAAAAAATCTGAAGTTGATAAGATTTAGGCTTCGTTTGGGACAACTTTCTTATTGCTTTTTAAAGCAATTTTCTAGTATAAAAATTATTATTTTTTTTACTAAAATTTTCTCTTAAGAAGCAATAAAAAAATTGTCACAAAGGAAGCCTTAGTATCTCAATCCATCTCAAACTTCAAAATGCATCATACAAATGGAGGCTTGGGTTAGCTTAGATTTCATAGCTTCTTCTAAGTCAAAAACCTACTAAGTATTCTTGTTGTTAGGATCTTGGATGAGGAAGAAGCACTTCCTCCATAAGCTTTTTGGGAGAGGAGGGAGAGCGAGGGAAGGAGAGATGCCGAGATGGAGAGCAACAAACAAACTCTTTATTGCTTTACCATGACAACTTATTACAACCTATAACATATTTATAAGCACAAAATATCTACAAAATAAGCTACACAAAAAAGCAACACCAATGACAATAAAAGTCATTCAAGAAGCTACCTAAATTTTGGACCAATATCCAACACTCGTTTTGATTGGTTTTAAAATTTTCATCCAAGCTTAAACTTTTCATTTAGTTTCTTATGCATCGTTTGGGACAGCTTTCTTTCTGCTTCTTAAAGCAATTTTTTAGTTAAAAAATTAAATTGTTTATACTAAAAAGCTGCTTTAAGAAGCAGTAAGAAAGACGTCCTAAACGAAGCCTTAAATTTCAAATTTAAAATTTGCTTCAATTTCATATATTTTTAATTGATTTTTTTTTTATTCTGGCATGTTCTTTAATGTTCTTTTAAAATATTACCCAAAAATTCTATTAAATAATTCTCCTATGATAAAACTTACAGCTACAAGCCTACAAGAAATCGAGTTATAAATATTGATTAAGTGCACACGTGTTCACCAAGGACGTGTTACACAGGTCGTGTCTATAAATGGGTATTAGGCGACCGAAGCAACCAACAAAAAATCGACAGCTGTTGCCACGTAATTTATAGCATTTAATTTAATTTTCACAAGTTGCCTTTAATTTCTATTTATTAATGGTCAGACAACTCCGTTTTTACTTCAAATAATTGCGTTTAACGGGAACGGAGCGGACCGCCGTCTGCAATCTATATAAGCCCTGAGACGTCTTCATTTCTTCCTCCCCCTCGCTTCCTTCTTTCTCCTCTTTTCAAAGCAAAATCCAAGTATTTGGCTTTCTTCTTCTTCTGCATTGCTTTCTATAGAGTCGATATTCCTATTCCAGGTGAGTTTCTCAGAATCAAGAAACTCCCTTTTTAAAAATGCTTGTTAATAGTGATGGAATCCTTGAAGGCTTGTGATTGGAACTAGGTTTTATTTATGTTTTGGTCAGACGATAAGAAAAAGTTCAATTTTTTTGTATAGATTATAGATTTGTGCATTTCGAATTTGAAAACTTGTTCTCTCGGCGGCCTTCGTGTTGTTCTTTCTGAACTGTGGCGAGTTTCTTCTTCTTTTTTTTTTTTTTTTTTTCATCACTTTAGATATGAGCTTAGCTTGTCTACCTGACAATGCAATCTGGAAAACCAAAAGATTCAACTTTTTTTAAAAGAATTTCAAGCATTTGATTTAGGAGCGGCTTGGCTACGAGTGAGATCTAAGTAATATTTAGTACATCTTGTATAACTAGGTTTAATAAATCTTGGAACATTAAATCCTGATATAGATTCTAGTTAAGTTCTGGTAAAATTTTTTATTGATATTCTCAAGAATTTGAATTTAAATAAAGGAGAAGAAGAGGCATAGCGAGTCGAAGTAGTATTAATTTCTCCTGGTTTTACTAATTGGATTCAGGCTAAAATGAGAGGAAAATGAGATTTAAGAAAGTAGAATGACTTATGTGGCTTAAAAAATAGTTTGCCAAGATTTAGCTTAAATCCAATCTAAAAGTTGGCTAAATCTTGCACCCAAACAGCCCCTTAGTGTGATGATTAGAAGGCATAACTAAGCTCTTCAGCTTGAATTTTCTAATTTATCAGTTTCTTATTTTGTTTAGCTCAAGAAAGATGGGAATCAAGTTAAAAAACCAATATCTCCAAGCCAAGAAGCCTAAATATGACTGCGTGCTTTTTGGTAAACTCCTGCTCTTAATTTGATCTTTTTTTCCCTTGTTCTTATATTACAAATAGAGTTTCTTCTTCTGATCACTGTTTGTGCATAAAAAATACAGATCTAGATGATACCCTTTATCCTTTGGCATCGGGGCTTGCAGCTCATTGTAGGAAAAACATTGAAGGTATTTCGGTTTTTTTTTTGGGTAAATTCCTTGCTTTGTTTGAATGCTAAACGATCTATTCAACCCATAAATTGTTCAGATTTCACTTCGTTTCTTTCACGTTCCTTTAATCCAAACAAAGCTTAAGATTTACAGTATGTTGGCAGGGAATTAGAATAGACTTAATTCAAACCATCAATAACAAATAAAATAGAAAGAAAATAAATGCACAAAATATATCATGAATTTTATACGAATTTGCTCAATTTATGGTTATGTCATATTAATGGCTATGTCAATTTACAGAGAAATTGGATATCAAATATGATGATGCTGTACCCTTTATAATGAAAACATAGGGCATTAAAAATTTATAGAGAAATCTTCAAAGCATCCTTAACAAAAAAACTCACAAATATTGAATACCTCAATAATGAACTTGTCTATTTTTACCCTTTTTTGGTGATTACTTCGATTTTTTTCCATGTGCTTCAGATTACATGGTTGAAAAGCTTGACGTCGAGGAGAGCAAGGTCTCTGAGATGGCTGTTCTTCTTTACAAGAATTATGGCACCACCATGGCTGGTCTCAGGGTATGCTAATTTGTTTGCTCTTCCTTTTACAGCATATACTTTTTATTTTAATTTTGAGTTTGATTTGGTTTCAATTTTTGTATTTTGTTTTTCAGGCAATTGGCTATAAATTCAATTATGATGACTACCACAGGTATTTTTACTCCCCTACCTAACCAAAAAATCTTCTCTTTCTGTTAATTTTGTGTGTAAGCCTTTTCCAACATTTTTAAACAGCTTTGTTCATGGAAGATTACCTTATGATAAGCTTAAGCCGGATCCTATTCTTAGGCATCTCTTATTGAGCATTCCAGTTCGCAAAGTTGTGAGTCTTGATATAACTTGAACAAGCTACTTTTCAGTTTCTTTTGCCGTTTATTGCTCTCTTAAGCTAAATCCAAGCTTTTTTTTTTTAACCCTGAAATAGATTTTCACAAATGCTGACAAAGTCCATGCTGCTAAAGTTCTAAGCCGACTGGGTCTTGAAGACTGCTTTGATGGAATAATATGTTTTGAAACACTTAACCAAACAGACGAGAACAAATTCTCTGATGAACTAGCTGCCACCATTAAAACCAGTATCTTGGACAATTTATTGAGACCTCCTCCAAACTTTGAACTACCCAAAACCCCAATCCTCTGCAAACCATCTGAATCTGCCATGATTCATGCTCTTAAGATTGCAAAAGTCGATCCCCAGAGAACTGTGAGTACTGTTTTACATGTTCTTCAACAATTTGAATAGCTTACATTATACATCATGAGTTGCAGTTAATTGATTTTGATTGTGGTGGGATGATGATGCGCCCGGTCTCCAGATTTTCTTTGATGACAGTGTTAGAAACATTCAAGCAGGCAAGAAAATTGGTCTTGACACCGTCCTGGTAGTTTTCCCTTGCTCTAACTACTGTTTTTGTGACATAAAAAAGGAAATTGGTTGTCGTTTTGTTGATGGTGCATTATGATGATATAACAGGTGGGTACCTCTCTAAGAGTGAATGTAGCGGATCATGCATTGGAGAGCCTCCACAATATGAGGGAAGCTTTGCCGGAACTGTGGGAAGAAGGCGATGAAGCTCGAGGTGCTCGGCATAATGGCAAGATTGCGATCGAGATGCCTGTGTCTGCTTAAATTTCAATGTGTCACATTACTGACAACTAAGAGGAAGAAAAATATGACGACCGGATGACATAGGAAGGAAATTGATGTGTTTACAATTTTTCATTTTGTATGTTGGCAATCTGATGGTTGCTCATGTACTTTATGTAACAAGTATTCCAGAAATAAAATTCTCAGTTTTTCCCCAGTTTGTTTGTTACAGCTCCATGAGAAACTATCTTTTTACAAGCTGTTAGTTTCTCTACAGTTACCTTGCTAAATGTGGTTGGCACATCTCAAGCATACAGTCCATTTTGGATAGATTGATACTGAATTTATATGAAATAGAGTTATTAAAGAAAATGGTTTATTGACTCAATCCCAACCATTCTTAGTGAAATGGATGGGATGGTTCGGGTAAACCAGCTACACCTCTATAGATACCATGATAAATTTTGAATATGCATACCAACAATTGGTGGTTTTTGTTGTAACAGCTCAAACTCTTAACTGTCGAGATATTGTCCGCTTTAGTCTAAGGACCTCACGGTTTTGTCTTGTTAGTATAATTTTTCAGGAAGTCGCCCATTCTAAGATTTCTCTTGGATGAGCTCGCTTAATTGCGGAATTTCTTAAATGAAATTCCAACAATTACACCAAATGCTCCTCGATGTTTTAGAGTTTAGCTTATTTTTACCTGAGAGACTACACAATCTCCCTCACTTAAGTAATTGATGACCTTGTCAGTATCTTTATACCATAATCATCCACCCAATAGATAATATTCTAGTGATGACTTCCGCCGCGTAGCACTTTGTCCGTCAGTCTGACTAGCCGTCATGATAACTTCATAAAATCTATGCTATTTTTTATTTTTCCCAATAACAAAAATGCATGTATTAATAAGCTTCAAATTATATATAAAATTCACTATTTAGCATGTTGAGTCACAAGCCTTTGAAGCAATGAGAAGACGTCATTGCTGAAGCCAATATTTCTTTGGTAGGGCTCTTCAGTCTTTCATAACAAGTCGTTCAACTACTTTGTTCTTCCGTTTGAAAATACTTGCAGGAGGCCAATTAAAAGGCGAAGAGAGTAATTTTATACTAATTTTGGATTATGTATTCCTTACCTAATATGAATAATGAAAGTTTGCATAATTAATTATGTCTCTCTTAAAATGTACAGCGCATGCATAAAATGGTATTAGATGATGAAATGGTCATTGGACAAGCTACTAGAAGATGAATTCTATGCTAAGGTTTGAACTTGATAGGGAAAAATATTTTAAATTACTTTGGGCAAATCCAAAGACTAACTGACCCAGCCCACCAGTTAATTAATAATTGAGTTTTTATAATATTTTTCTACTCTATATAGTTACCCTATAGTATATAGTCTTTATCTTTAAATTTTGGTGCAATTATATATGCATATTATAAACATTTTACTCTTCTAAACTTGTAGTAAATCCTTTCGCCCATGCTGGCTTAAAATCTTAATTCTACTACTGAACATTAAGTTTCATAAGTGACTTTCATTCTTAGCCAGCTACCATTATTTCATTTGAGTTTTTCTGATTATTATTTATCTGTGTTGCAAGAAGTAAAGAGAGCATTTAACAACTAAACTTTGTATGAAGTTCAAGCATCCACAAAAATAAAATAAAAAAGAGGTTGCAAAAGGCACTAACATTTTTTCTTGAAATTTTAAAAAGAGGAAAATCATGGGGGCCTACCCAATTGAAATGATTCCAATAATACATGACATTGATTACAAATGATACCCTTCTCCACATTTGAGAAATGTATTGATACGAACTAGTATGTATTAATTACTTAGAATATTTTTTTTTTTGTGAAATTGACGTTTTGAGACGCTGAATCTATCTTCAAGAGATCGTTCATGATATGTTCTCTCATCTGATGGGAGAAGGCTGTAAACAAACAAGTCCAATCTAAATATTGGTTTTCATGTTAAGAATCAGAGTTGGTGTGCGTAGATGATGTGCATCAGTCTTATACATAATGGTGTATAACAAATATCATGATGTGTTGAAGTTAGTGGTGACCATGAGTAACGTAGTCGCCATGAGTTGATATTGGTTTCAATATCTTGCATCGGACTTATAACTTATATCATGAAATTACATAAGTAGCAACGACAGGTGATGAAGCCAACGGGCATCAGTGTTATTGACATCATTAAGCATCGACATTATATGCAATGACATGTTGTGTTAGTGGCGCTTCTGATGTCAAAGTTGGCATGCATCAATGTTAGTATCAATGGTATACAATGACCTAATAGGCGATGGCATTAGTATTGGTATCAATGTTGAGCATTGGTCTTATGGGCTTTCACATGCATCGATGTTGATGATGATAGCGAGTGACAAAGTCAAGTGACATTAATATTGGGGTTGATGGCATGCATCAACCTTATAAGCGACGGCATGTATTGATGTTGATGGTGATGACATGTGTCAATTTTAGCTCTAATTGCATGCATCAGCCTTCTAGGTGATAGCGTGCATTGACGTTGGTGGCAATGATAGATGAAGAAGTGTTGGTTGAGTGGTGTTTTAATGATGGTGGTTAGGCAATGAATATATAATAGCAATGATCGAGCATTAACGGTTTCATAATGGTAGTCGAGTAATGGTGTTTCAATGGTAGTGATCGAGTGATGATCTAACACTAGTAATTGCATACCACAATATTGGTGGGGCAAAAACGACTCAATGGAGATAGTCGAGTGATGGCAGTCAAGCAGCTATGGTCCCAATGGTGTTTAGGCAACAATAGTCCAATTATGGTGGTCGTTGGCAGTTGTAGTCAAATAGCGATGGTTTGACAACTATAATGCATGGTGGTGGAGCACTAGAATTCTTAAGACCTTTGAGCCTTTGGTAATCTTAAGTCCTAGCTAACGCCATTCATATAGAGGGTAGATGCCTATTTAAATATTTTTAGAAGTAGCACTCTCCATAAATGTAGCCAAAGTTCATAACACATTATTAGATGACCCACATTAATTTTCTTAATCATAAAGTGTTTTTGGAATGTTTGAGTGTCTTGAGTATGTTAGGACTAAGCAATCTTAGGTTCGCTGGATTCTTTTCATCGATATCCTCAATTTAATTATAAGGACACTAGATTTGGAGATCATTTTGTCCTTCTATTAGTATCTTGAAGTTTTAAACTATGCTTCAAGAGCTTGATGTGAGTCAAGTCAGATCACTTTTGGTCTTGATGGATTCATCTCATCAAGATATTCAATTTTACTATAAATTTGCTAAAATTAAAATATAGATAATCATAAAATTAATTTTGAGGATTTCAAATCTCAAAATGCATAGATATTCGTACTTAATCAAGGGAACATACCAAAAATTAATAGTAAATATGAATTAAACAACAAGCTCTTATAAATGGAGCTGGTGTTTCTTATGAAGATAAAATGGATAGTTTGGACATTTCTCAAGAGCCAAATGCAAGCAACAAGAGCTCAAACCAACTTATCACGGCTGCGAAGAAACAACTTTAGCACTTTCTGATTCGAACCTCTTAACAAGTAAAAAGCACAACTTCTATTTGCATCTAAACCTCTTTCTACTAAACATTTTCTAAGGCCTAATTTTGACATTTAATCCTATGATGTTCATGGGCATTAAAAAACTTTTTTGCCCTAGCCTGCCTAATTTCTTCCCACACGCCGCAAGAGCCGCACCCCTTCCCCACTGTACAATTCATCTTTCGTGAACGCAAAAACTCCTCTTGCGGCATTTCTTCCATCGAACCCTTCTCTTCCTCCTACTTCTCTTACTTAATATATAAGTTGTGTCATGGAATATTCATAGCATTAGAGAAATATATAGTTTAACGTCTTAGTTTTATATGAAGATCCATCATGCAATCAGTTATAAGAGAATGTGTAGCATTCATAAGAGACACCAAGATTTTTAAGTGTAAAACCCTGAATAGGGGAAAAACCATGGAGCCTTGCCTAGTTTGAATGAATGGACTAGTATTTAGAATTTATTACAAATGAGGCCCGTCATTAGAGGGAAGGCATTGGCTTGATGTAACAAACATACATCATATAGAGTGTGTTACATGGTGGAAATAGGAAGAATCACTGTTGACATACTCGTTTGGTCGGAATTAAGGAACATAGTTGGTGGGCGACGGATGTCGGAAAAAATATTGTCTCGCGACGAAGGTCTGAAGGACCATAGTAGGCAGGCGAAGAGGCCGGAAGGACTATTGTCTGGGGACAGAGGTTGGAAGGACTGTAGTCAGCTAAAAATGGAGGTTGGAAAATAGTAGTCGGTGGGCAACGGGGTCAGAAGGACCATTGTCTAGCGACAGAGGTCGGACCGTTGTCTAGCGACGAAAGTCAGAAGGATCGTAGTTAGGTGCGACGGGGTTTGGAAAGATAGTAGTCGATGGAAGCCCGTTGTCAGGTAAAAATCTGATGACGAGAAGAAGTCTAGCATCGGATTTAAGTCTAACGAAAGTCCAGCGACAACCTGAAGTCCTGTGATGGGTAAGGCCTCGCCCATTCTATAAGATTGTGCTCTCCTGATGGACGATTTTTGTCGATAGCACGCCGACCAGATAACATCTCGAGAAGGACAACACCAAATTATGGTTTGAACCTTCCAAATATGCTCCATGACTTAGATTCGAACTCATTTAGGCTCAGATTGAGTCGAATTTGGTGTTGTTGGGTTCGTATTTTTGAGACGCTCAGTTCTACCATAAGTTTGGTAAAATCAGAGTTCACATTACCTCCTATTTAATTTTTGAAGTTTTCAACTTAATTTTTCCTCGAAGTTCATGTCCGATCAACATAATTTTTTGATGATATATATATATATATTATGCCCATGTTAATGTAGCTTTTGGATCATAAAAGAGGCAATCTAGCCAATATTTATAGTTAATTTTTTAATAAACAAAAAAATTTAAACGTATATTGAAATGCATAGATAATAAAATATTATGTATATATTGAAAATCTTAATAATTATTTCAAATAAATCATGAATTTTCAAATGCAGATATTTGTTATATTTGATGCTTGAACACTCTTACTAGTTGTGATAAAATTAAAAGAATTAAATGTCGTGGGGAGTGGAACTGAAACAGGAAGCTTCTATAATGGGATAGCTTTCAAGTTTTTTAGGAATAAATATTAATTATATCAAAATAAAATGAAATTAACTCTTAATATAGCAAATGAATGATAAATGTGTAATTTGTGGTCACTTTGTTGGTAAGGCCATCCAGAATACAAGGAATGAGGCAGTATTTAAAAAATAATTGAGTCAAGCCGACTTGTGAGCCTCCTCGAGCTCGGTTCAATCACAATTCGGCTCGATAAATTGCTCGTGAGCCGGCTCGTTTAAAAACATTAATGTAAAATATACTATAATTCAAGATTTTAAATACAAAATTGTTAAAAATATTTAAAATTTAATAAACAAGACAGCTCATAAGTCGGTTGGCCTGGCTCCAACTCGTAGAATAAAGCTCAAGTTCAAAACATGGTCTAGGGGTGACTCAAACTTGACTCAACTCGTTTACGTTCCTAATGTAGAGTAATGCAAATGTGACGTCTTAAGTTAAGGAACCTATCTTACATGGTATAGTAAATTGAAACTAGACCAAACTAAACAAATTTAAACTGATATAGTATTGCTTCAACCTAAATAAATCAGCATTTAAAAAAAAAAAAATTAATGTGCCAACAAATGTTGTCCTTAGCATAAACAAATCAACCAAAATATCATTTTTATGTTGGAATTTATTCGGGTAAGTGAAGCATTGCTTAAGTTGATATAGACAATGATGATTATAGCCATGGGAACAAATACTCTTGACATTTAATATGGTTTGGGATTGAGAAAGACATGAATGAATTAAATTTGATTAGACACTCATAATTTTTCTGATGAGTTCTGTCATCATCTAAGAAAACTAGTAATTAATGAATTTAACGCTCGATATTTCAAATTGTGATACTTTCTTTGATAATTATTTTTGTTCTTTTCATTAAATGATATTTTTGAATTCCTTCACTCCATGTCACACTATCTATGGGATGCATGCATGCTCCTCCAATAATTAATTCACATTATTGATGAGAGATTAAATCGTCATAAGATATTATGATGAATAATCTTTAATTAGGTCATGAGGATTCTGATGAGCTCATGACTTTCCTTCATGAGAAGATTATATGGAATTTTGTGATGCAGGATTTGCTTCTCCTGTAATAGCTATAAGCTGTTATGATAAATAAGATTTAAACAACTTGACCTTAATTAGGTTTAGGGTTTAGGATTTTGATGAGCGCATGACTTTCCTCGATTATATGGAAGTTTGTGATGTTTGAAGGGAGAGTAGGTAGAATTTGCTTCTTCCATCTTTCAGTGAACAAGCTAGTTGTAAAGCATGTTATGCCATCTTTGTAAAAGGAAGCAAAAGAAAAAGGGTCAGAATGAGCAAGAAACATTCCCCGAAGAACAAAGCGAGAAATCGGAATTCTGTGGAGTATGTTCAAGAGAACAGATTGCAAAACTGACTTAAGATAACATAAATCTAAGTCTTCATCTGTAGTTCGAGAAAGTAAAGATAATCACCCTCACAATCACTACGATAGAAAACCACCTTGGATTTAACAAAACATTCTATTTCTACATAACGCTCAAGACAGTCAACTACTGTAGCGAAGTCCCTTTCTTGGACGAGACGAGCTATACAACAATCAGGCACCCATACACTTTGTTGCTATTTGCTGATAATAGCAGCAGCAGCAGCAGCTTTGAAGAATTGTAGCTACTTTCTGATGTATTGTGTGTTATGAATAGAGAGGAGAAGCCAATGGTCTAGGATAAGTCATTTTATTATTTACAGCAACATCCAAGCTCTTCCGAGGAGATCTACCAGGACTGTTACTGTGGTGTTGACTGACCATCTTGAATTCAGGTTGGGGATTCTTTGGTGTGTCATTGGAAGTCTGAAGCTGTTCTAATGCAGATACCACCTGATTCATGCTTGGCCTGAACTTGGCCTCGGTGGAGAGACACTGTAGAGCTAACATAGCTACCTTCTGTGCTCCGCCTAGCGAATAATCCCCATTGAGACGGTTGTCAAGGATGCGGAAAATCTTTCTCTTGTTTGAAAGATAAGGCCTCGCCCATTCTATAAGATTGTGCTCTCCTGATGGACGATTTTTGTCGATAGCACGCCGACCAGATAACATCTCCAGAAGGACAACACCAAAACTGTAGACATCGCTCTTCGTGGTCAAGTGGCCTTCAACATGCAAGAAAGTGTATTAGAATTCAATGTTTCATGTCTCATTTTCCGCAAAACAAATCTGCGAGGAGAATAAATTAAAATATTGATAGGTAGCCATAAATTAAAATATTGAGGGAAGATTAAGCACCAAACATTCCACTGCAACATGGTTCCAATGGGATCTAATGGTTCATGCAATTTTTTATTTTTATGGCCTTGGTGACAATGATTTAGCAAGGTTCAAGAGTCAAGACATAAGAATGAGCAGCACTCATGCTGGCTTCACATAGTTTACTAAGCTCTCATTGTATGCACTTGCAATTTAAAAAACTTTCATTTGGGGAAAGATGATGTTTGACGTGGATCACTCATGTGAAGGGAAGTGCGAGGAGAATAATCCCATTTCAAAAGTCAAACTTTCTAGTATATTGGTCGTGACTCTTACTCATCAAACTAGGCTTTAGTTTATTAAGATCAATTCAACTCACAAGTGTTCCACTCCATAACCCGAGAGAGTGCTTTGATGACAATTGTCCATGCAAAATTACAATTGAAAAAAAAAAATTAAAGCATGCATATAAAGGCATACTAAGCTAACATAGAAAGCATATCTCTGGCACAACGAGAAAAAGCAAAAAACCAATGTCTTACTAGCACGGGAATCAGTAATGAAGTCTTAGCCGTGTTTTTTATTGCAAATGTTTTATTATGAAACAATGAGAATAAGACCAGCATTTCTACGATTGCAAATAACACTATGCTGGTCTTTCCTAGACATGAAGTTTTCATCGATTTCTGCTATACGTATCATTGGCTCGACAAACATCTGAGACAAGATGTGTACAAATGCAACCAACGTAATCACCCAGTTGCAATATTTAGCAAAAGAACAGTAAAAAATTATCAATCCGCATTTTCATCACTTCGTACAGCTTTTTTTATGAGAAAAAAACAGATATTTCATATCACAAATCAGCATACAAAGAGTTCAAAGAATGCATAGAGAAATCTAATTCTCAAAATAAACAAAGATTGTGCTCCCAGAAAAATCGGAAATGATAAGCCACAGCAAAACAGATGAATATGGAGAGATTTAACCTACCTGTTGCAAGATATTCAGGTGCTGCATAGCCATATGTTCCCATAACCCTAGTTGAAACGTGGCTTTTGTCACCAGTTGGACCATCTTTAGCCAAACCAAAGTCAGAAAGCTTGGCATTGTAACTCTGAATTCACAGACAAATTCAGAAGGAGATCAACAAAATTCTGATATAACAATTATTAATTTTTAAAGGTCAAATATAAGGTAAGCATAAAATTCAGAACAGGTGATTTTCCGGTTGCTAATGATTTAAACAAATAGGCTTATGTCTAACAATAAATATATTCATAATTTTTATTAAAATTGAAAATAATTCACTCAGCGTTGTCTCTAATATTTTATGATTAACAAAATTAGATTTTTAGTCTATCAATATTGCTATTTGTTTAGTATTGCCATTACTAAATTTTAATAAAAAACAAAAATTGAGTTTTACTCTATCTATTTATTATTTGTTAAATCAAATATTAATAACATATAAAATTAGATTTTAAGCCCATTCATAACCATTTGCTCAATATATTCATCGTATTTATAGTTATTGTAATGAAAATAACTTTTCAAGTGCATAGAATATAAGAAAGTTGATATAATAATATAAAATAGGGTATCAAAAAGTAATTATTCATCATTAAATAAGTATTATATCAAGCCTTAGAGAGCTCATTGTTAAACAAAAAATATTCACGAACTTAAATAAACACGTGGGCCATGTTCAAGATTGTTTATTTATCCGTTGAGCTTTAAAAATTTGATTCACCCTTGTTCAACTATCTAAATAAATGAATATAAATGAGACTCATAAGTATTGAGTTATTCATTGAGTGTACTAGTTAAAGGAAGGAGAGATGGAGAGGGACAAAGAAAAAAGAGGGAGAGAAGAAAAGAAAAGAAGGGAAGAAAGAGGATTTAGTAAATCACTCACCTCCTACCTGATTGTTTTGGTTCAAGTATGATGGTGTTGCAAACAATAGTGCCCCAGGCAAATCTATCTATGCCAAAAAATTCCTAGTGTTGTGAACATGAAATACTACTTAGGATTCTTTAGCACTTTCTCCAAATATCTTTCATTGTTATTTAGTTATTTAATATTCTTCTCTATACATTTAAAAAACTGTTCTTTATTATAATTAAGATTTTACTTCTATGGTCATGGACATAAGAAGCCAATCATGCTGAAACATGTAAATATTTGTGCTTTTGTTTAGGTTTTTTTTTTTTTTTTTTTTTTATTTTTTTGTTTTTTTTTTTTTTTTTTTTTGCAATTTTTCTTTTTGCTCTCTTTCACCATTGTGATTTTTTTTCCAACAACAAGAGGATTAAAAAACTAATGCATCATGGTGAATCAACATACCGAATCAAGCAGAACATTGGAAGTTTTAAAATCACGATAAATGACTTTTGTCTCAGCACTGTGCAGAAAGGCAAGCCCTTTTGCAGCACCTAGAGCAACCTTGATCCGAAGATTCCAGGAAAGGGGTTGGAAGTAAGAACCCCCTGCACCAAACAGCAAACATCAAACATCAAACATCAATCATAATATGACAGCAAGAACCAACTTACTGCTTCTTAAAGCAGCTTTTTAGTAGGAAAAAAAAATATTTTTTGTACTAGAAAGCTGCTTTAAGAAGCAGTAAGAAAGTCGTCCCAAACGAAACCTTAATGTCAGTCAAGCAAATATGACAAACAAGTTCAACAGAAATAGAAATACTACTTACTCCTGAAGAGATGATTCTCTAAGCTTCCCCGAGGCATAAACTCATACACTAGCAAGCGGTGTTCATCCTCCAAGCAATATCCAATCAACTTTACAAGGTTGGGATGGTATAACTGACCAAGATAGTTCACTTCAGCCTGCAAAAACAAATAAGAAAATTTCCAGAATAAACCAGAAAAGCAAACCATCTAACTTTTTACAGTAAACAAATATCTTCAGCAAAGTTACTTAAACAAGATGGAATAGAGAGAAAAAGCAGGAGTTGAAGGATGTTATCATGCATCTCATTTCACGTACAAGATCTATAGAGGTTATTAATTACCCCGCTGCCTGATGCACCATCCGGTTTTTTAAAGCTTGTCAACTAAAGTATGCTTGCAATATACAAAGAACCCCTTAAGCCAAAGACTTCGCGTCCAATTAAATCAAGGTGAAGAATGATTTGAAAGAAAGATTAAGAGTATGCTACTATTCAACAAGTTATTCCTAAAATGTGAGAGTGCCACATGACAATAGAATACACATAAAGTTGAAAGTAATTTTATAAAATTATAATTAAGCTAATTGAGTTATACATATCTTATTCATCATCATCATTGGCATTGTCCCAACCATTTGAAGTTTAAAGAATACGAAATTTATATTTGTTTATGCCAAGTGTTGCATGACACATTAAAAGTATTCTTCACAAAACTTGCTTGTAAAACTTCTGTCCATTTTTCCTTTAACTTTACTCATTTTCTTTCATAATCCATTGACATTAAAATTATTATCCCGTCTAAGGAAAGCATTTTCTCCCTTTCACATCAACAATTTTTTTAATGTCAAACATCATCCATACAACAAAGTTGTCATTGTTAGACAAGTTGAGCTTGCAAAAAAATGAAATGTTAAAATGAATAAGTGAGAAAACTGGAATTTAAAAAAAAAATTGCTTGGTTTGGGCATATACAATAAAAGGGAAAAAGAACCAATAATATCTTTTTTTAGAAAGCAGAATAATATAACCAAAAAATGATATGAGTGCAACAAGAGAAATTATGAAGAATTGAAACATAAAGAAAAGAAATACAAAAAAACTAGAAAAAACTAACATGATGACCAAGGATGCAGCGTCCAATTTATCATAGAAACTACAAAAGAAAATCTCTTTTTATTTAGGTCGAACATCATCCATACAATAAAGTACTCATTGATAGACAAGTTGACTTTAGCAAAAAAAGGGAATGTTAAAATGAATGCATGGCAAGATTGGGATTAAAAAAATTAAGAGGTTTGGGCGCAAACAATAAAAAGGAAAAACATGAACCAAAAATATATTTTTTTAAGCAGAACAATATATTAACCCGTGTAGAACACAGCTAGGATAAATCTCTACCCAAATGGTTAGAAAATGATGATGATTATCAAACTGCTTCTAATGGTTTCCCCTCGTTCATGTGTATGATGATGAGTTATGAATCGTTCTTTCAGAATAAGGTCAAAATAAAATAAAGTAAAATCTTGCAAATGTGAGCGGAGGACCCAAAACTCACCAACCATTCCTTGTGACCCTGCACTCCCTCCTGATTTAGCCTCTTTACTGCGATAACTATCCCTGTCCCTGGCTTGGCTGGTGCAAATGTGTTCTCATCAATCCATCCCTTAAATACTGAACCAAAGCCTCCTTCGCCTAAAACACTATCGGGTCGGAAATTCCTCGTGGCAGTTTTCAGTTCACTGAAAGCAAAGCTCCTAACATTAGATGATTGCAAGATTTCCCCCTCACTTCTAGGCGTTGGAGGCACAGAGGCCATAGAAACCTTGCTGCTAGAACTGCTTCGACCAGATTGATCTTGGGTGCTGTATTTAGAGTTCATCCCTACAAAACAAAGCAAGAAGCATTCCAGTAAATGAAACTGGACCTTAGGCTGGAAAAGAGCTATATAAATGCGAATGCACTTGGTACAAAATTGAACCAAGAATTACAAACTCCATGACAAAGTGAAGGAAATATTAAAATTCAAGTTTTAGCATACTTGTGGCAATAGAATTAACATTTAATGCCAAACAAACAGTTCATAGTTTTTTTTTTTTAATTTAAGTTCGAGTTTTACGTTTGCTTTTTCATTGCGCATATTCCTCCACGTCAAAAAATAAACTTGACCTAAAATGGCTTACTCTCTTAACTAACAAGAGTACAAATATTATTCTCCCTATAATAACAAATATTATACCATCATGGATGTAACGTTTTTTTTTTAAATCATCCTTTCCAAAACTCGCATTCTTGAGTCCTACCCGCTTGAATCGCTTTCCTCCAAACTCCTAAGCTGCCACAATCACATACAATGTGCACAGTTCAAAGGGATTGTCTGTTCCAATTAATAAGAAAATTCAATTGACAAGATTGTTCAAAGCATTTCTCATAAGCCACGCAAATACGCATGCAGCTCTCGACAAAGATTGGAGTGTGGAGCCCTATGGGCAGCCCTTGTGAGCTTCACTCAGCAGATTGACGCTTTGACAGTTGAGTTCCTATGCTTCATCATGGGGTGAGAAACGACCTATAGAATTTCAGAACCATGTTTCCCGCACAAATCCTGACAACAACATTGATAGTTCATGCACATGTAAAAGGAGAATGCGATCAGGAAGAGACACACAGTAGCTACTCACGACATTACAGATTTTGAGGATGAACGTGAGTTTCTCCAACATCAAGATGTTTCCAGTTCCGTAAATGATGCACTCCCTCATTATCAACCCTCCAAGGCAGCGTGGATGGCATGATTAGGAACCTAGGAAGTTCAGAGTAAAACTTGGCATACCTTTCTTTGATGGATGATTACACATTAAAGACTACCTGGACTGGGAAGGCGCTATTGAGACATTCATTGAATACATGGAGATTGCCCTGGACAAACAAGTTAAATATGTTGCTTGTAGGTTAAAAGGAGATGCAAGCATGTGCTAGATGCAATTGTTACAGTGCCGTCACTGAGAAGGAAAAGGATAAATTCGTAGTTGGTTTCGAACGAAGCAACTCCTCTGCGAACATTTGCTTCATGTTGACTTTGAACAGATGTTATACTTGAAGTATCAACATTCTGAGCAGGGATATCATACTGTAGGTGAATATACCTAAGAGTTTTATTGTCTCAGTGCTCACAACAAGAATGAATCTGCAACTCAATTGGTTGCAAGGTATATAGAAGGGTTGAAGGAAGCAGTACAAGACAAGCTCAAACTTAATTCGATGTGGACACTTTCTTAAGCCGTTAATTAAATTTTACAAGTCAAATTGCAACCACACAAACATTCCTACAATTATGCTTCTAAGAGACAAACTAATTAACCACTTGTGTAATTAATTAGATCCAATTCTCAAGCAAAAAGATCCCCAGCATAGCAACAACCTTCGGGTGGTGGCTGGTGTGCCTTATAGGATCCGAAAATGTTGAAAAATTTAAAGCTCTAGTTAAGGACAACCCATATTCCTGGCCATCAACCCATGAATGCTTTTGGTGTTTACAATCATAAGTAAAATACGTACCTTTCTTTGATGGATTATTACACATTAAAGACTACCTGGACTGGGAACGCGTTGTTGAGACATTCATTGAATACATGAAGATAGCCCTAGATAAACAAGTTAAATATGTTGCTTGTAGGTTAAAAGGAGATGCAAGCATATGCTGGATGCCTGGATGCAATTGTTACAGTGCCATCACTAAGAAGGAAAAGGATAAATTCACAACTGGTTTCGAACGAAGCAACTCCTCTACGAACATTTCGTTCATGTTGACTTTGAACAAATGTTATACTTGAAGTATCAACATTGTGTGCCAAGATATCAAGATATCATACTGTAGGTGAATATACCTAAGATTTTTACTGTCTTAGTGCTCACAACAAGAATGAAACCGAAACTCAATTGGTTGCAAGGTATATAGAAGGATTGAAGGAAACAACACAAGACAAGCTCAAACTTAATTCTATGTGGACACTTTCTTCAGCCGTTAATTAAATTTTAGAGGTCAAATTGCAACCACACAAACATTCCTGCAATTATGCTTCTAAGAGACAAACTATTGAACCACTTGTGTACTTAATTAGATTCCATTCTCAAGCTTGGGTGCATTGAAGTGTATGTCGATAGAACTCTATTAGATATTGGCTAGCCATACAGACGGGCACACAGAGTGACGACTCTATAGAAAATCATCAGATTTCCTTGGGTTGGTGTTTACCTTCCCGATGATGAGTATTTGATAACCGATTATAGTATATGTATATAAATGTATGAATATATATAATTGGACATGAATTGAATTAATGAAATGATGAAAATGTCATTCTAAGGTACGAAGATACCTATTGTAAGCATTGAAATTATTGACATTAGTAGTTATTCGGCATATAAACCAGCATATCTATCGTAGGAGATATAGCATGTGTCATTATCACTTTGATATATTGACAATGTTTACTACTTCAACATTTTGGTTATTTATATTGTATACTCTATTCCTTGGTCGTTTATGCTTTTGATAGATATGAGTTATTTGCTAAGTTTGATTTATCAAACTCATCAGTTGTCTCTTTTTATGGCAGGTCTTGCAAGCATGTTTAGCGAACCATCACCTCATGAGCAGATAATCTCCCATCAGACTTCTTAGAACAGTGTGGAGAATCTAAATGAGGAGTTTTTATTTTGTTCGGTTGACCGGATGCAAGAAGCATCCGGTTGTAGGCAAAAAAAAGGCGGTACCGAGGTGTACCGAGTTTTTCAAAAAACTCGGTGCACCATGGTACCGAGTTTTTTTTGCCTACGACCAGATGCTTCTCTGCATCCGGTCGGAGGACGTAATAATTGTTCCTAAACGAGAGCACTAAAAGATGTTAATACACAAAAGTGGTTAATGCGAGTGGGAATGAGGTTCAAGCTTGAGCCTGCATATGGTTTTAGAACGGGAGAGAACAATGTAATGTGGGAATCTAAGAAATGGCTTACTTGGGTTGATGGGAGAGGATGTTTTGCATGAGAAAGGAGAAAAAGATAGAGCAAGAGAAAGAGTAAGAGAGAGAGAGAGAGAGTAAATAACATGATGAAGAGTGGTTCAGCAATCTTTGCCTACGACTACTATAATGATGCACTAATTCTCCATTACAATAGTATTTAGGAGGAATAGAGGAATGGTGATTGGAGTAGAGGAAGGAGGAGGAGGAGGAGGAGGAGGAGGAGATGAAGAGGAGGAAAAGAAACATAACACACTTAAAAAAATAGCTGAACGGAATACCCTAAGGAAGAACGCTAAGAATGGAGCTCCCCAGGGAAGAATGCTAAGAGAACACCCAATACAATCAATACACTTCTCTTTAGTAGGCCTTCTAAGACATCCCTAATTAATATGACCCATGACCAATGTATCTTTCAGGCGCCAAAAATCATGAAGAAGGTGGTGGTTGCAATATATGACACATCACATCATAAAAATATGGGTAAATGGTCATTCTAAAACCATTCTAGGGTTGGAGGGATTCTCTAACAAGCCATCATGGGGTAGGAAGGCTCAACTGGCTGGAGTAATGCCAGTCCAGGCATATGAGTATTAGTTGGATTGGCTACATATTTCTTCAAGCAGATGTTGATTTAGATGGTCAGTTTTGATTAAACCGAACAAAAATCTTGATAGGTTGGATCTTACGAAACATCCTATCAGTTTACTTGAATGACTTTCAATTTGATTTAGCAAGCGGTTCTGCAGAGTAGCCAATTGCATTGGGAACCTGGCTTAGGAGCTTTTGATTGGTATTTTGTATCCCAAGTAATGGATAAGATCAAGGATAGTGAGCCATTTTGTCATGTGAACGATCATGATAGAGCAACGAAAATGAGGCGCCACACTATAAAACAGAAGTCCTATAATCCAACCAAACCTGGAAAAATGCCAAAGCGCAATCTAGGAAGATACGTTTTTTTCCCCAAAATCAGATGAGTGCAGTTTACCATTTGGAAGAGAATTAATCCCCGCATTCATTTCATGATTCTGGATTTTTAAATCCTTTCCTGTCGTGCTTCATTGGCCGCTTATGATATATTTTTTCTTCAATTTACTTTATATTCTAGAGTAACAAAATTTAGCTATGTAAATCCTACAAAATATGAACCGCGTCTATGAAGAATAGAAATTTTCTCCTCTGAGTTTTCTACACTAACCTAAAAATAGAAAGTAGAAAACTATATATTTTCAGGACACCGCATCTTATCTATAAATGACCGTAAATGCGTGCAAATTTAACTCCCAAAACATTAATACTTAGCTACATAATTTACATGCCGAATCCTTTCTTGGTGATTCATGAACAGATAATTATGAAAACACAAAATAAAGGATAGAGCTTGAAAGGACACGTCTCTTACGAATTCTTATTGAGCTGCAAATGGAAGCGGAAACTTCGTCAAATTCAGTACACTCACCTGAAGTGGAGTACAGGGGGCTCTCTGCCTTGACTTGATCCCCCCAGCAATTTCCCATTAAGATTTAAGAGAGATCAGCACACCTTCTCCTAACCCTCCCCAGTTCCTTCAACCAGATCACCGAAAGTTAGGGTTGCTCAATCTTTATAAGATGGGCGAAATAGAAAGCCGATTCCCTGCCAGATCCTTGAGGAAAATCACAGGAATCAAACCACAAAACATTTCTGCAACACGCAGAGCGCAGGCGCCAATCAAGAAAACAACTTCGAATTGAACGACGGTGCCTATAAAAGTTTTGTTTACCTCCAGATGGTGTGTGTTCCCTCTTGGTGCCTATAAGAAAACTGCAACTCTAATAGGAAACCAAAAGAAGCCGTCAGAGGCACAGCTTTGGGGACGAGAGAGAGAAAAACTTTACCAGCTCTCTTTTTTTCCCTCTTGGAGCTTAGCGAAGTTTGACCTTTAAAACGAAGGGAGAGATTTTATAATGATGATCAGATGACGATGTTAGGAGGCTATTTTGGTTGTATTATTTTAGGATTATAATATTTGAAATGTAGGAATTTTATAAATTTAGGTGTTTTATTGTAATAAAAAATAATATAAGTATAATAAATATAATGTAAAATAAAATAGTTTTTTTTTAGTGTAAATCAAATTTATTTGATTTTGAGTGAAAATCGTTTACATCACAAGCTTATTTGGCCACCACATCCTATTGTCATAATTTAGAATTTTAATTTATATTGATTACTTCTAACCAAATAAAAAAAAAATATTCACCTACATGTACTTTATATTTATCCAAACAACTCCAAAATAATTCTTACACTGTATTTCTTTTTCGGCCAACCAAACAGCCCCTTAAAAAATTGCAAGACTAAATAAGTAAATATAATATGATTTGTGTTGCAACACATGGGGGTACTGATTCTCAAAATAAATTTTACAATGAGCAGAATTCAAACCCTTATTTAATATATATATATAATTTCATAAATATGTATTATAACCTAGTATAATTAAATATTACATAATATAATTGAAAATGAAACTTAATTATTATAAAATGCAACTATTATTAGACCTTCAAAAAATACAATATAATAAAATGACATGCTGATAATTTAGTTATATTTATCTTTCAATTTTAGTTACATTTTAACACCCTAAATCATTAGTGTCAAATCCAATCTATTGGTCAATCAATAGTATCGATACAGCAAGTCCATCAAATTGAACTCTGTGAAGATTGGTGAATTATTACGTCCGTCATCGGACGTCCGGACACCCAATCCAACGCGCCACATCACCCAATACAAGTGGTCCTAGTGTATTGTGGTGGATGTGGCGCATCTATGATTGGTGACCCAAACGAATCCGGACCACTTGACAAATAATAGATTTTTCGTGGAGATGAGATCATGCGTGATGGTGATGTCAAAATATGACGCCATCAAATTCAATGTAACTCATGGTCAACAGCAAAAGTTTGTCTTTAGCTTGAAGAGCTATAGAAACATAACAAATAACCAAAGAAAACTTATTCATTTAACTTCTTAGCACTAAAAATCGACTTGGCAATATTTAAGCCAAAACATTCATCGATAGAACTTGGCTATACTAAGTTGAATTGATAGAAGTCAGCTACCTCTTTCATGTTGGTATGCCCCATATTTGAAAAGTATAATACTATAACTAATGTATGTAATGAGCTATAGTAAATGAATTTTCATTTTATGATAAGCCTTTATTACGCTAAATTATGCAATCTATTCTTCCGTTTAAATGAATATTTTCTATAATGATTATCTCAACACCCAATATAAATAAGCAGCTCAACAAACAAGCCAAACACACAAATTATTATCTAATGTTCTATACTTTAAACAATAAAAAATCACAAACTTTAGGTCAAATTTATATGAAGAAATTTTGATGTTATTAAAAATATATAAAAATAAGTATACAGAGTTTATTTTATATAAATAAATAAATTTTATAATATTATAATATTATATTATATATTATTAAAATATAAACTTACTATTATATATATAATATATATATATATATATATATATATATATATATATAAATAATATATATATAATATATATATACTATATATATTATATTATATATATGAGTTGATGATACATTATTATATTATATATATATATATATATATGAGGAAACATTATTATTTTTACAATTATGCCTACTATGCTAATGAGATTATTGAATTATTATTAATAATAATATTATTTATGTTATGTTATGAAATATGGTGTTGTGATGTGTATCATTGTCCAAAAAAATAAAATATTATTTTATAAGAACATGCTAACATTGATACATAAAGTGATTTGTTTGGTATTTGATGAGAAATAAGAAAATGTAAAGTATTATCCGAGGAGTTTGAAAAGCACAAAATACTTTGTATTTTAGAAATTCAAAATTTCATATAATTACAATAAGATCCTTATAAGTATTTTAAGGAAAATTTGAATTTATATAAATAGTAATACTCAAAGTTGTAAAAATATGGCAATTATTTAATTTGTTTCTTGATAAAATATGTCAAAAATTTTCATTGAGATTAAAATACCTTAAAAATCGAAGGGATGTTGGCCGGTATAGCTATGTTATTTATAGTTTTATTGTATTTAATTGTGTCAAAAATTTTATCAACTATTATAATTGTTATAATTGTACCAAACATATCATTGCAAAACATTGCAACTAATTTAATTCATGAGACTTTTTTGTTAAAATGTTATCCTCTAGAGGTATATTATACTTTGGTGTTTAACAAATCAGTGCCTCATTTGCATGTTGAATCATCCTTATTATTTGATTCTTATTCAAATATGTTATTAATTTCCTAGTAATATGTTATTCAAATCATTTTGGAATTTTTCTAATACTATCTTATTCTAACATTATTTTTTGAACAAGATTGATTCATGTATGATTTGAATTCTAAGAATATTCGATCATGGATCAATTTTTTTATCGCATATTATTTCAGCCTTTATCAAATTTTATTCGAACTTTAATCAAAATAATTTTGATTGTGGCTTACATAAAATAGAAGTTTGTGGCTCAAATTAGACATATTTTGGTATGAAGATCTTTTTTTGGCATATTTTTTCAAGAGATGAAATGCATAAAAGATATAATTGCAATCATAACATTTAATATAATAGACATATTATTCAAGAATGGAGGATAGTTCACTGATGAAGGAATATAATTTCACATTAATCCTATAAGAAGGTGATGATAAAACAATCCTTAAATTAGAAAATGGACTCGATCATATTTCCAAAAGTATCCAAGGAAAAAAAATGCTTAATGGAGAACTGATCAATGGTAGGTAAACATCCTTATAAATGTCTAATCAAAGAGAAGTATATAGATGTGTCAATAAATAACTCAAATGACAACTCGACACAAATTGATCTAAAAAAATTTTAAGTTTAGGTTAACCCGAATAGTATACGGGTTGAGTTTAAGCTTAAAATTTTCACCTATTTAATATTCAAGTCAGGTTCAAATTGATCTGAAAACTCAAAATGAATATGAAAATATCCATTTATTTTTTTAGATTGAAGTGAATTATGTCTTTGACTAATATTTTAGATAACTAAGTTGTATTAACATAAAAATATTAAATGAGCCATATAACATAAGACCACATATATGTGTTGGGTTTGAGTTAGGTCAATTTTGAGTCTAATTTGAATTCAACTCGTTAATCAAAATTAACACCACCAGGAGTGTGGATTAAGAAAGCTAGCAATAGGACTTGCACATTATGGATAAAGGCCAGATGTTTCTTACTTCATGTAATTAAGCAGATTTTAAAATTATGCTTTCAGTTCTAAATGGAAAAAAGAAATGTTAAAATTAAATAAAGAGAAAAAGTAGATCTTATGATCTCACGCTATTGGCAAGATTTCTTATCACAAGAGTTAGTCATTAATGCAAATAATACAATCTTATTCCAAATCTACATGCTCGCCTATCTTATTGTCATGCAATCTGAGCATGTATCGACCATGCACACATCAATCAAGCTCATATTTTGTGACTTGGAGGCATATAACTAATTATAAAGATACTGTTTCATAAGTTACAAATGAGGCAATATTCAATTTAAATTGTTTTATGAAAAAATGGTTAAAGAATTGGCAACTTCTAAATGTTATATTGTTAAATATATCCAGTAGAGTCTAACAAATAACATAAAAAAAATAAAATAAAATGTTGTGTACACACAATCACAATAAATTAATATAATTTAGTGTCGAAATTTTATGAAGTTATAAAAGCATTAAAAAAATGCATACGAATTATGAAGAAATATAATTAAATATCACAATATTTGCACCCCATCGATCTTCTATCATACTTTCTATTATACTTTGTGTAACAACACTAATACAAATCATAACATGTATTATTACAACTTACAGATGATCTCATTAGTCTTGAAATCATAACAAATTATTTAAATAAATATTAAAATATAATAAGGGACTTGTTCAACTTATCACCTTAATGCATACCACATAATTGTCGAAGCTTGCCTCCATAGTCAGGTGAAGGACCTCAAACTGATTGTTCATTGTGTTAAGGGTGCATGTGCTAGTTTTTAAGTGGGCAACAACTTTTAGTAAGTTCTTGGGTCATGAACATTAAGCAAGCGAGGGGATAGATGATGATGAGAAGTGAAGTTAATGATCGATGTGCATAGAAGAAAACCTATGAGTGGAAGTCTCAGGAAACTTAAGGAGATTTCAACCCAAAGTTGGTGAGTCGAGTAGAATCAATGGTTGTTGAGCTGATGGGTGAGATTACCATAGTTCAATGTTATGTAAGTACTTAATACATGTCATCATACAGAATATGAAACACATTCTTATGCAAGGAATAATGTTATATCTTGTAGATCGATAAGACCATATCATTATCAATGTCACTCCTCCTTACACTTTGGCAAAGTTTATGATTGCCAAGATCATGGAGCGATGACATAAGTGGTGGGATGATTATGAGATATGTCTCCAACCTGTTGTAGGTAGGTTTAGTGTTGCAGGGACTTCTTGAGGAAGAAGAAGTTCCTCTTGATCTCCTTGGGGGTAGAGGGAGAGAGAGAGAGAGAGAGAGAGAGAGAGAGAGAGAGAGAGAGCTAAAAATAGCTAAGTTTGAGTCACCTTTGGGCCTAGCTCCTTGTCGTTTCAACAAATCTAGGTAATTTATCTTGAAATGCCCTTCTTAGTAGCAATAAAAACATTTATTATCAAACTCGTGTCTTCATCTTGCTTTCAGAATGTTGCCAACACTTTCTTCTTTATCCTCAGCTTGCACACACTCGATTACGACACCATGTTATTCCACGACCACGCTTGCGTCCATATAAACTATAACATCTATATATAGACACTAATGACATAACAAAAACTTATAAAAGACATAAACTAAAGAAAGAACAACTATAAATCTGGACCAATCACAACAAGTGTCATTAATAAGAGTCAACAGTATGTGATGGCTGTGTGCTATCTATTGGAAAGAGATTTATTTGACCGCTTAAATTGATTACAAAGTATTGTATATAAGGATTTCATAGAACACTTACAAAGAAACTAATGTTGACGTAAGGGAATGGTGATTCCTCCTTGTAGCCTTGAGGAATATTGATTAAGTAAATGCCGCTAAGTTGGGATCTTGGTGGGGACAAAGTGATGTCTATAAATGCACACCTAAGGGAAAAGAGGGAAGGTGGCAAAAGAATTAAACCTAGTTTGTGAGTTTGAGGATATCCAAAGAACTAAAGTCTATAACTTTTTGAGTTAGTAAATGGTCCTTCAGGCCAAACAAACCTGTATATGTAACTCTTACCATGTAATGCAATCTATATGATGTACATTTGCTACATCAATCCAAGGCCTTCTCCTAAGGAAGGGCCTCATTTGTAATCGACTACAAATACTAGTGGATTCATTCAAACTGGGCCAGGCCCCGTGGTTTTTCCCCCTTTTTAGGGGTTTTCCACGTAAAAACTCTGGTGTCTCTTATGAATGCTACACCCTCTCACTTATCTGATTGTGTGCTGGATCTTCGTACAATGCTAAGACATTAAACTATATATTTCTCTACCGCCGCGAATGTTCCAGGACGCAACAGTTCATATTTTATTCTGATATGGTTATACATGTATAGCAAAAAAATTATCAACTTATAATTAGGAGCTGCCCAAAAACATTTATTTTAACAAAAGCAAGGCATTATGCTTATCCATGCAACGAGAGCGTTGCGGGTCACTCCGACCCGGTCGGTCCAAGGACGGGCCCGGCCTATCCCCAAATGAAACTCGAAATTCGCGACTCCCAGGACTTTCCCTCTCAAATGCCAAAAAATATGGCGGTTCCGCTCACTACCTAGGGCTTTAAACCATCGCGCCTCTCTGACTTGCACTTCTTCTTTCTCATCTTCCACCCGATCGGCAGCAGAAGCGGCGAATCAATTCTGATAAGAATCTTCTGGTATCTCGACCAGCTTCCTCCGTGGTTCACTCTGATTATATTATTACCGAGTGATCTTAACGTTTTGAGATATTGATATCGATATTTCTCTCTTTTTTCTTGTTTTCCAGGGTTTTTCGTTCAAGTTTTTTTGATCCATCTCGTTTGATTCTCTAGTGAGTCAGGACAAAAAATGGCTTCTCTTAACCTAACGAGTGGCGCGATTGCGAAGATTTCGCAAGGGTTGGGGGACAAACTGCAACCTGTTCTTCAAGTAGCGGAGATCCGGTTGGTGAATACTCAGCAGAGCTCAGCGGAGAGGTACCGGATGCTTCTTTCCGACGGTGTCCACCATCAGCAGGGAATGCTTGCGACACAGATGAATGGGATTGTTAAGTCTGGCCAGCTGCAGAAAGGATCGATCGTTCAACTAAGCGAATTTATCTGCAACACCATACAAAGTCGGAGGTAGTTATTCTTGTCGTGCTGTAAAGTTTGTGTAGTTGATGTTTTTGATTTTTTTAGATTCTTTGCTGCCATTCTGTTAGAATTGAGAAAACTTGGTTATTAGGAAACGGTTTGGGAAGAATGCATGGTGATGTTTATCATTTATGAACTGATTTTACCACATGGACAAGAGTTTTGGTTGAATTCAGAGTAAGATAACAACTCGATCCTTTAAGAATCTGGTGATAGATTTGTAATTATGATCGCAAAAACCATTTGATTTGTGCATACTGTTAGAAATATTTTGTAATAAACCTGGCAGAAAATGAATTGATACAATCAGTTCAGGATAAATATTACATAAATACAAGCTTGGAAGGTCAGAATAATTTCTCTATCCCTTGAGTTGAGGACGTCCCTTCATGTGAGGTCTACCCATCACTGCTACTTCTGAGGTGCTTCTTTCCTCACCTCGACCATATCATGAATGATAGGTTTATCGCAAACCCATGTTCCGCAGTCCACATAGAAACCTAGAAAACAAATAGATAATTGTGTGGGAGAAAAGAAGAATGAGAGGTGGTTAACTGGAAAAAAATATACCTTTCCCTTGGAGGATGAGGCCAGTCTCCCTTTTTATATAGATTTTTAAAGAGGGTGAAATTTGGATGAAAAGTAGTTTCCATCTGTGTGCATTGAGTCAATTCACCATCTTCATCCCTCCCTTTACCACTCTTGTTTTTTTTTTTAATATTTAAACCTAAAAAAAAAGTCAATTTTGCATATAAGTTAAAATAAAGACAAGAAAAAACAATTGTTAAGTCATTAGGAAAAGATGGGTTCACTATCCTGCACCATGCTAGGTGGATTAAGATGCCTTGAACGTGCATTTAATAACAGTGGTCACATACCTTAAATCAATGGTGGAGTACTCCTTGAAATTGAATCCTTATATGATATTTTTGCAATTGTACTCATATTTGTGTTAAAAATTAGAGGCAGTGTTTTAATGGCAATGCACTAACTTAATTACTTGTGATAGTTATTATAAATTTAGCATGGATTTCATGATCACAATTCACCACCCAAAAAATGCTCTTAGGTGAATTTTCAAAGTGTTTCAGTGGTATTTATCTAGCAGAGCCTTGGATTCATTAAGAGTTATCAATCTGCATAGAGCTTATCACTATCTGGATGGGAATGGAGTTGAAAATCTAATTATTTGTGCTTATTTGTCAGATATGATAGTTTCAATTCTACCCTTTGAAACTTCTTAACTCTGATCAAAGAACCATGTTTGCAGAAATTTACTGCTAGTGGCTATCAAAAGGCATTGAACCGATTGTTCTGATAATACACCATTCTTTGGTGGACCAACTATCCAGCTTTTTAAATACCCAATTTTTTTTTAACGTTTACTTATTAAGATAGTTTATCTTATCTTTCAGATAAATGTTCTGTTTTTATGCACATAAACTAGGTAAACATCCGTGGGTTATGAATACATGAGCCAGTTTTTAGGGTAAGGCTATGTTAGGTCGTTTAAAGCTCTTTGGTGTTTTTTAAAGGTTGTGCCTTATATTGTTGATGTGATAATCTATTGTTTATTTTGTGATTTCACATCTAAGAAGATCTTCAAGTGTTTAAAACACATTTCATAATTGCTGTTGCATTTATACAACAACAACAATAACATCAAGCTTTTATCCCACTATGTGAGGTCGTCTGCATGAATCCTTTTTCTCCGTTGTATTATGTTAAGAGTCAATTTCTCATTTAAATCTAATTAAAAAAAGTCATTTCTAACGTTTTCTAACCAATTCTTTTTAGGTTTACCTCTACATCTCTTAACATAGGCAAAATCTAATATATATATTCTTCTAAATGGGTCATCAGAACTATGATGTTTTATGTGACCAAACCATCTAAGGCGACTCTCTCTAATCTTATCTGCCACTAGAGCTACTCCAATGTTTTCATGTATATGCTTGTTTCACATTCCATCTCTAAAAGTAAAGCCACTCATCCAGCCGAGCATTCTCATCTCGGCAACACAAAAGTTAACTTAATTGTATGCTTATCTTTTAATGGCCAACATTCTGCACCATAAAGCATTGCATGCCTCCCCACTATCTTATAAAATTTCCCCTTAAGTTTGAGGTATACTTTTCTATCATACAACAAATTTGATGCATTCCTTTATTTCAATCATCCAACTTGAATTCTACTAATAATATCCTCATTTATTTCACTATCACTCTTTACAATAGACTTGAAATATCTAAACGTGTACTCTTATTAATGACTTGATTGCCTAAAGTCATAATATTGCCATGAGAATTATTGCATACTAAAATTACACTATGTTTTTGTTTTTAGATCTACTCAAATGAAAACTTTTAAATGCTAAGATTGATCTCAAGAATTCAAATTTACCTTTAACTCCCTCAACAATCTTATCAACAAGAAGAATATCATCAGCAAAAAAACATACATTAGGGTACATCCTCCTGCAAATGTCTAGTAAAAACATCCATGACTAAAGTTGATCATTAATGTAATCCAACTGAAATAAGAAAATACTTGGTCCAATCTCCTTGTTTGAACATAAGTAACAACTTATGCATACATATTCTTAATGACTTAAGTATAAGTATTATTAACCCCTTTATCTTCTAAAACTCTCCATAGCACTTCTCTTAAAATTTTATCATAAAAATTCTCTAAATCAATAAATATCATATGTAGGTCCTCCTTATTCTCCCTATACTTCTTCATCAAACCTCTTAATGAATTTATAGCTTCCATAGCAGACATACCCGGGAATCCAAATTGATTTTGAGAAATATTAGTATCACATTGTAACATATGCTCAATAACTCTCTCCCAAAGTTTTAAAGTATGACACAATAACTTTTTTTTTTAGTATGACACAATAACTTAATTCCTCCATAATTCACACACTTTTGTGCATCACCTTTGTTGCGTCCTGGAGTATTCTCGGTGGCAGAGAAATATGAAGTTTAATGTCTTAGCGTTGTACGAAGATCCAGCACACAAGCAGATAAGAGAGAGAGTGTAACATTTATAAGAGACACCAGAGTTTTTACATGAAAACCCCCTAAAAAGAGGGAAAAATCATGAGGCCCGGCCTATTTTGAATGAATATACTAGTATTTGCAGTTGATTACAAATGAGACAATTCCTTGGGAGAAGGCATTGGCTTGATGGTACAAATGTACAACATATAGAACACATTACATGGTGGGAGTTATAATATAAACATGTTTGTTTGGTCGGCAGGACCATAGACGATGGGATAGAGGTCAGAAAGACCGTTATAGTGGGACGGTACTCTGGTAGAACTCTGAGCATCAGGTGGTGTCCTGATAGAAGTTCAGGCCTCAGGTGATGGTCCGACTGAAGTCCAGGCCTCAAGTGGTGGTCTGGCAGAACTCCGAGCATCAAGCGATGACCTAGTGGAGCTCAGGGCCTCAAGTGGTGGTTCGGTGGAGCAACGATGTCAGGCGGTGGCCCGACGGAAGTTCGGGCCTAAAGTGGTAGTTCGACGAAGGAAAGGGCCTCAAGAGGCGGTACAGCGGAAGTTTGAGCCTTAGGTGGTGGCCTGGTGGAGCACAATGCCTCAAGTGGTGGTCCGACAGAGCAACGACGTCAGGCGGTGGTTCGGAGGAAGTCTGGGCCTCAAGCGGTGTTCTGCCGAAGGCTAGGGCCTCAAGCGGTGGTCCGGCGGTAGTTCGGGCCTCAGGTGGTGGCTTGGTGGAGCACAGGGCCTCAAGTGTTGGTCTGACAGAGAAACGACGTCAGGCGGTGGTTCAACGGAAGTTCGGGCCTCAAGTGGTGGTCTGGCGAAAGAAAGGGCCTCAAGCGTTGGTCCGGCAGAAGTTCGGGGCTCAGGTGGTGGCCTAGTGGAGCATAGAGCCTCAAGTGGTGGTCTGGTGGAGCTACGACGTCAGACGGTGGTCCGACGGAAGTCCGGGCCTCAAGTGGTGGTCCGGCGAAGGAGAGAGCTTGAAGAGGTGGTCCGGCGGAAGTCCGGGCCTCAGGTGGTGGCCTAGTGGAGCACAGAGCCTCAAGTGGTGGTCCGGTGGAGCTACGACGTCAAACGGTGGTCCGGCGAAGGCGAGGGCCTTAAGCAGTGGTCCGGCGGAAGTTCGGACCTCAGGTGGTGGCCTAGTGGAGCACAGGGCCTCAAGTGGTGGTCCCACGGAGCAAAGATGTCAGGCGGTGGTTCGGCGGAAGTCCGGGCCTCAAGTGGTGGTCCGTCGAAGGCGAGGGCCTCAAGCGGTGGTTTGGCGGAAGTCCGGGCCTTAGGTGGTGGCTTGGTGGAGCACATGGCCTCAAGTGGTGGTTCAGATGAGCAACGACGTCAGATGGTGGTCCGGTGCAAGTCCGGGCCTCAAGTGGTGGTCCGGCAAAGGCGAGGGCCTCAAGCGGTGGTCCGGTGGAAGTCCGGGTCTCAGGTGGTGGCCTGGTGGAGCACAGGGCCTCAAGTGGTGGTCCAGCGGAGCAACGACGTCAGGCGGTGGTGCGGTGGAGCAACGATGTCAGTGGTGGTGCGGCGGAGCTCAGGCGGTGGTCGAGGAAGAGCTTCTTCATTCTCTTCACTTCTTCTCTTCTTGTGTGGAGCCTCCTTTCAAGAAGAATGAGGGGTCTATTTATAAGTTTGTGGAGTGGCATGACCCGTAAATAGGTGAGAGATCGAGAGTAAATGGGGAGTGGCTGGATGGACGGCTGATATTGAATCTCTTGATCATGGACCGTTTGATGGACATTTGAATGTCTTAAAGATGTTGAAATTCGGTGATATTGGGCTCGTTGGATTCTTCTTGTCCAGCCGCTTTATTCGACTATATGCACGTAATGTTTGGAAACCGTTTGGTAACCCAAATTATGGTTCGAGCCTTCCAACAGCGCTTCGGGTCCTTGATTTGGACTCATTTGGGCTCGGATTGAGTCGAATTTGATGTCGTTGGGTTCGTATTTCCAAGACGATCAGTTTGATTATAAGTTTGCTGAAATTGGAGTTCATATAGTCCCAATTTTAATTTTAAAAGTTTCCAACTTGATTTTTCCTCGAGATTTGTGCTCGATCAAGATAATTTTTTGATGATATATCAACCTTTATTCTTAAAAATAGGAATCAACACACTCCTCTATGCATATGACATCTTTTTAGTATTCAAAGTTATATGAAAAATTTTCATAAGCCAAGAAATTCTTTCATCTCCTAAGCATTTCCATGCCTCTATTGGAATAAGGGGCAATAACTTTTCCACACTTTGTTTTTTTAAAGCCTCTTTAGTTTTGGTTTTACTTATATGCCAACAAAAATAAAAATATTTATTTTCATTTAGAGTGCTAAGGGCACTGAAGTCAATCTTATTCTCACATTCTTCGTTGAAAGCTTATCAAAATGACTGATCCACATTTGTTGAATATTCTTTTCTAATAAAAATATTTTTTTTATTTTCATCCTTAATGCACTTGAATTAAATTGTTAATTTTTCTATCTCTTTACTTGGCAAACTTATATATACATATTTCTCCCTCTTTATTATCTAATATATTATATAAATCATTAAAAGCTATTTTTTTTTGCATTACATATTGCTTATTTAGACTCTTTATGAGTTTCTTTATATCTTTCTCAATTTTCTAAGTTTTTACATCTAAACTGATTTTTATAATAAAGTTTTTTATTTTTGATATTTTCTTGCACATTTTGATTCATCCATCAACTATTTTTATTATTATGAACTTTTATTTTTGATACTCCAAGCATATTCTTTGCAATATTCTTAATATCATTAGCTATATTTTCTCACACAATATTAGCTTCCTCATGTACAGTCAAAAACTTAAGATATTGAATTTTATTCTAAAAAATAATTTTATTTGTGTTATTTAAATGTCCCCATCTAATCATAGGATAACATTTTATTTTATTTTTCATATCTCGCTATTTCATCTTAAAGTCTAAACTTAGTAAGTGATGTTAGGTACATAAACTTTTACTCGGAATAACTTTGTAAATTTTTGCAATCTAAATGGTCATATTTTTCTTATATGAAAATAATCAGTCCGAGTTCTACTTTTTTTCCACATAACATGTATATATATATTTTTTGCACTGGTGTAAAGGTAAATTTGTTTACTAATGGAAACTAAATAAATATGCTTTGTTGCAAGCAATTTGATGTTTTTTTTGCTAATTAACCTTCTTTCTTAATCTCAAAAACAGGATTATCATTATAATCAGCCTGCAAGTTTTGGTTGAGAAGGCTGAAATAATTGGGGAGCCAAAAAATTATGATTCTGGCAATCCTGTTCTACAAAACCGTGTTGCTGGTCTTGGACAGCCACCTGAGGTAAACCAACCAGGTTTATCCATAGAAAATGCCCAACATCATGGTGGTTCTCGAGCAAGTGGTCCTGATGTTGGACAACATGCTCTTGGGGATGCTTCGTTTCCCAGACAAGAGTCAGCTGTGAACAATCAATCTCATGTTGGCTTATTTGCTGGTGATTCTGTTCCTGGGAGGAACGTCAGAAATGCAAATTTCTTGCCCTCTAAAGCTGAATCTGCTACTGCGGGTTTTATGGAATCAAACCAAATTGGTGGTATGCAACCAAAAAGATTCCCAAGCTCATCAAATGGAGGATTTCAACCCCCTGCTGATAGTTACGGGCGTCCAATTCAGTCTACATATCAGCAACCTGCTCCTATCTATACAAATAGAGGTCCTATTGCTAAGAACGAAGCCCCAGCTAGGATAATTCCCATTGCTGCATTGAATCCTTATCAAGGAAAGTGGACGATCAAAGCTAGGGTTACGGCTAAGGCCGACATCAGGCACTACAATAATGCAAGAGGTGAAGGAAAAGTATTCTCTTTCGATCTCCTCGACTCTGATGGTGGAGAAATACGAGCAACTTGTTTTAACATGGTAGCTGACCAGTTCTATGATCAGATAGAGGTAGGGCGAATTTACTTGATTTCCAAAGGTACCTTGAGACCAACACAAAAGAGTTTCAACCATCTTAACAATGAATATGAAATTATGTTGGAGTCTACATCCACAATCCAGCCTTGCTTAGCGGAGGATAACAGTATTCCAAGGCAGCAATTCAGCTTTAAACCTATTAGTGAAATTGAGTCTATGGAAAATAATTCAATGACTGATTTGGTCGGTATAGTGACTTCGATTAATCCTGCAGGTACAATAATGAGAAAGAATGGTACCGAAACTCACAAGAGAACTCTTCAATTGAAGGACATGTCTGGAAAGAGTGTTGAAATAACTCTATGGGGAAATTTTTGCAACACAGAAGGGCAGAAAATCCAAGGCATGTGCGACTCCGGCATATTTCCTGTACTGGCTATAAAAACAGGTCGAGTCAGTGATTTTAGTGGAAAGTCAATCGGTACAATTTCCTCTAGCCAGCTTCTTATAGATCCTGATATTCCGGAGACGCACCAATTAAAGGAATGGTATAATAGTGAGGGAAAGAACCATACTGCCCTTTCTATATCCAGGGAAGCTGCAATAACGGTGAGAATGGATGTGCGTAAGACAGTTTCACAAATTAAGGATGAAGGTCTTGGAAGATCTGAGAAGCCTGACTGGATAACTGTTAAGGCCACAGTTTCATTCATGAAGGCTGATAATTTTTGCTACACGGCATGCCCTTTGATGGTGAGTGACAGACAATGCAACAAGAAAGTTAATAATAATGGGGATGGGACATGGCATTGTGATCGGTGTGACAAAAGTTTTTCCGAGTGCGATTATAGATACCTACTCCAGTTACAGATTCAGGACCACACTGGTATTACCTGGGTTACTGCTTTCCAAGAATGCGGTGAAGAAATCCTTGGTGTATCTGCAAAGGAACTGTACTTTCTCAAGTATGAAGAACAAGACGAGTTGAAGTTTGCTGAGGTTGTAAGGAGGGTTCTTTTCAGTCAATATTTATTCAAATTAAAAGTAAAAGAGGAAACTTTTAGTGATGAACAACGTGTGAAGTCTACTGCTATCAAAGCTGAAAGGGTGAATCCTTCATCAGAGAGCAGGTTCATTTTGAGCATGATTGAGAAACTTTCTGGGGAAGATGCTCATACAGTTTCAGCTATTCATGGAGCATATGCTTCTGGAGCCGGAGTGCATAATTCCGAATATTCTCATTCTCTTGGCGGCGGCGGCGGCCGTTTTGATCGATATAAAATGGAGACTTCTAGCCAAGGCGGACAATATATGAATCAATATGGTGGTATTTCAAGCCATAGTATGAACAGAGAAGTCCCATCCTTTTGTAATAACTGTGGTTTGTCTGGCCACAGTTTTCAGAACTGTCCAAGGAGCCTAAGCGAGTTAGGACAATCTACTGGAGGTGGCTTCACGCACAGATCATCTATTAGTGGAATGGAGGGTGGAAATTCTTCTAATGTATGCTTTAAATGCAAACAACCTGGCCATTGGGCTAGGGACTGTCCTGGATCAAGCTCCATATCTTTAGGTTTTGGAGGCAGAGACATAGCTTCATCTGTTGGAAGTGGTCATCCACAAGGAACATATGGTAAACAATATGTTGGTGGTTTCTAATGTTTGAACCATTACATGTAATTTCTGACATCTATCTCGACAAAGGGGCCAAGCTCTACCAACCAGTGCTGAAACAACTCAGTTACCAACGGAACTTCCCTGTTGCCTTTCCTTCGCCATATTTGATGGATATTTTGTTTGAATTGTTATTGCCAGGTTTTCCCTCTCTACTTTGTATCATATTGCATGCTTTCTTTCTGTGAAAACTTCAAGTATTACTCCCATGCTTCGCTAGACTTCCTATAGACTAATTGGTAGACGATACAAATAATATTTTTATGTTTTAGCTATAACCGACCCGCGTCTGTGTTTGATTTCTTAAATTTCGCTTGTTAAGTGAGAAATTGTCAAGCGCTTGCATTCCCTCAAAAGGCAAATGCAACCTAATATTAAGACAATAACAAGAAAGCCTCACCAAATTTTTTCATTACTTGCTTTTGTTTTAAAGATCTGACAAAATATTGTAATAAAAATAATGCAGATAAAAACAGAAGCAATCTTACAAAGTTTTCAATTATTGTAGATCTCTAGGAAATGTTTGCAAATACTTTGATTTTGATGCTTTCAAGTGTGTGGGAATTGTACTTTAAGCCCTTGGAATGGTTGGAGAAAAGAGTTCAATAAAAAAAAGCTTAAAGATTTAATGTTTAAATATTCAATATAGTTGTAAATATTTTGTACTTATAGGGTAAAATATTTTTTAAAATGACAACAAAATTGTATTGAAAATAATTCTAAAAAGTTTGTCAAAATGATATCGTAGACTCGTAATTATAATTCAAGGGTGTACATGAGTCGAGTTTGCTTGTAAGCTGGATTGAGTTCATAGTCCTATATATTATATGAGCTTGAGTACAAGTATAATATGGTTTAATTCATTAACTTGTCTAGCTCCTTTTCTTCTTTAAATGTCCTTAGTCCTATGATGCCTTAAATTCAAGTCAAAAGATATATGCAAGCAAAGTTCCAGTTAGTTGTTACTTGAGATTAACTCAACTAGCTTGCACACCTATTGTTATTGTGCCAAAATGCAGAATCTTTGGACCCAACAGGTAGCACTTATGCTACTTCGGTGTGCTCTATCTACCATGCATTTAAACAGTACGATTTTAATAAATAATCTAAAGCTTCTATTAATTTAAAAATTATGATAAATTATAGACAATTTTGTATTTAAAAAAGATGATTTTTAATGCAATATTTTAGTAATTGCGTGTGTAATAATTTATTATATTATCTCAATCTCAATCAGTAATTAAGTTTTCTATTTCGAGAACAAATAGTTATTTTTTTCTTAGTGTAGACTAAAAAATTAAAATAATATAAAAAATTCGCCCACCGTGGGGCTCGAACCCACGACCACAAGGTTAAGAGCCTTGCGCTCTACCTACTGAGCTAGAAGGGCCTTTTTGATAATTTGTTCTCATTGTTTTTAAAATATTGAAATCCTCAAAGAGCTTTACTTTAGATCAACAATTAAAAACTCAATTTTGGGTATAAATTAACGTCCCAAATTTCTTACTTATATTTCAGGTGGTTGATCTGAGCTTATTTGGATCCATATTTTATAATATTTGGTATCGTTGGATTCATCTAATTAAGACGCTCAATTTGATTATAAATTTAGTAAAATTGTACTTTAGACGGTTCTTAATTTTATTTTGAGAAATTGTTAATATAAATATTACATAAAAAAATCTGATGATCAAAATGAATTTTCTTACTTAATATCAATAACCAATCTTAAAATTATTTGTGGAATTCATGAATGTGAAGTGAACAAAAACTTATCCTTTGCATAGTAAATATTTGAACACCCACTTGAATCCCAAATTAGAATTTTAGGATTAAAAATATTATTTAATTGGGTTGTTGTTGATTTATTCTATTAAGTTTATTTTAAAATAAGCATCTCATTTTTACCTGTTGGTTGAAAGCTTTGACTATTAACAAAGAGATCTTGATTTTTAAATTTTAGTATGTGATGTGTGTGAGAATTTTACTTGATCTAAATGTAAAAAAAAAAAAAAAAAAGTTTATTTTAAATTTTATATTTACAACTCAAATTCAAAAAGGGAGCCAAATCTGTACAGGGGAGAAAAAAAATGATACTTTTGGTCGAAACCCGACTATCTTCTTCCTTCCAACCTCGCAAAATGATCAAAAACTCCAATTCAACGAACAACGGGAGTTCCCGTCGCTACTCTTCTTTATCTTTGTGTTCTTCAAAGACTGGACAAACTCCTTGATGTAGATACCTGCAAGAAGATGAAACAGAGAAACAAGCAAGCAAGATAACAGAGAACTAGTTCTGTATTGAAGTGAAAATATTCTAAAAACTGTTTCATCTAAGAGCTTCCAGTGGGATATAACCCAGCTGCACTCCTTTGCTGCAAACAGCATAAAGGCCAAAAGCTAGAAAATGTACTAAATAACTAACTATAGTACTAAGGTAGTGGAGATTCCACATTCTAACGGCTAAAAACAAAAAAAGGTGTTAAGTTACTCCTCCAGGTTCCATTTAAGATAGGATGCTCCGCATCATTCGCCCCCACTTAAAGAATTGCCTGTATTTGCTGATTCCATATGTGTGCTACTATCGTCTGGTGGTAAATATGCATAAATATCAGCAACATTAAAAGTATGTGAAGTATTGAATTCCTCCGGTAAGTCGACAACATAGGCATTGTCGTTGATCTTCTTGCTAATGGGGAAGGGACCCCATTTCCGTTTGCTGAGTTTTGAATATTCACCGGCGGGAAGACGTTCCTTGCGAAGGCGAACAAGTACCAAATCGCCGGGATTGAACAGCTTCTCCCTTCTATGGCTATCTGCATCAAGCTTGTATCTAGCATTTGAGGCTTGCAGCTTCATCCGCACATCAGTTAAGAAGTTGGTGTATTGATCAGCAAGTACAGAAGCAGCTTTGCTTTTGCATTTTGGAATCACTGCAATATCAAGAATCGTATTCGGCATTTTAGTGTAAACAATACTGAATGGGCACATACCGGTAGACCGATTCGTCATCGAATTAAATGCAAATTCTGCTTGGCCGAGCAAATCATCCCACATCTTGGGATGATCTTGAACTATGCAGCGTAATAGATTGCCAAGTGAGCGATTTACCACCTCCGTCTGTCCATCCGTTTGGGGATGATAGGACGAACTCAATTGAATTTGAGTGTTCAACCGCTTCCACAATTCCCTCCAAAAGTGGCTAATAAACTTGACATCGCGATCTGAGGTGAGGCTTCTAGGAATTCCGTGTAGCCGGACGATTTCTTTAAAAAAAAAGCCTTGCAATGTTGAGCGCGTCGAATGTCTTCTTACAAGCTATGAAGTGTGCCATTTTTGAAAAGCGGTCCACAACTACCATTATGGAGTCATTGCCTCTGCTTGAACGCGGTAAGCCCAATACAAAGTCTAAACTTAAATCTTCCCAAATTGAGTCCGGTACCGGCAACGGTTGATATAACCCCGTATTCTGTCCACCTCCCTTATAGCTTTGGCAGACCGAGCATCTCTCCACGAATTTGGTGACATCCCTTCTCAAATGAGGCCAAAAGAACTGTCGTTGTAGTTGGGAAATAGTACTATCTCTGCCTAGATGTGCCGCCAACCCTCCAGCATGGGTTTCCTTGATAATTCTCTGCCTCCAGGAACCGTCTGGAATGCACAGTAAGTTGCCTTTGAAAAGATAGCCGTGGCGTATGGAGTAATCAGCCAACGGCTGTTGCTACAAGCACTTATGCCAAAAATTCTGGAAATAATCATCCGTGGGATATAGTTCCTTTAAGCATTCCAAGCCCGTTAACTCCGTTTGGAGTTGGGTAATCAAAGCAGCTCGTCTACTTAAGGCATCGGCTACACGATTTTGTGTCCCGCTTTTGTGTTTCAACACAAAAGTAAATTTCTGCAAAAAAATAATCCATCGAGCGTGCATCCGATTAATATTTTTTTGAGTGTTTATATACTGGAGAGCTTTGTGGTCGCTGCATAAGATAAAATCCTGATGTAATAAATAATGCTCCCATTGTTTTAAAGCTCTAATAACAGCGTACAACTCTTGTTCATAAACTGTCCATTTTTGTCTTGACGGGCAAAGTTTTTCACTGAAAAACTCAACTGGCTTGTTGTCTTGAGATAGCACAGCACCCACTCCCACGGTTGAGGCATCTGTATCAACTGTGAATGGCTTGTCAAAATCCGGTAGGACTAAAACTGGTGCAGTAGATAATGCAGCTTTGATGGCTTCAAAACTCCTTTGTTGTTCCTCCGACCAAGTGAATTGAGACTGTTTCAAAATGTCTGTAATGGGTGCCATAATAATACTGAATCCTTTGATGAAGCGGCGATAAAAATTAGCTAATCCGTGGAAACTTCGTATGTCAAACAGAGAGCGAGGAATTGGCCATTCCTTGATAGCAGTGATTTTCCGCGGATCCATGCTTACCCCACCCGCTGAAATAATAAAGCCAAGGAATGAAACCTGCTTGGTGGCAATTTCACACTTAGACAAATTTAAGAATAACTTGTTCTGCCTCATCACAGTAAAGATGCTCATGAGATGTTGCCGATGCTCCTCCCTCGAAGCGCTGAATACTAAAATATCGTCAAAGTATACCACACAGCATTTGTTCAAATAAGGCTTCAATACCTCGTTCATCAAACGCATAAAAGTTGCGGGAGCGTTACATAAGCCAAATGGCATTACCTTCCACTCGTACAAACCTTGGCGTGTTTTGAATGCCGTTTTCCACTCGTCGCCCGGTCGAATGCGGATTTGATGATACCCGCTTCGAAGATCCAACTTAGAGAAAATATTTGCCCCCGACAACTTGTCGAGCATGTCTTCCATTCTCGGCATTGGAAAACGAAATTTAACAGAAATTTTATTTATGGACCGGCTATCCATGCACATCCTCCAACTACCGTCTTTCTTTGGCACGAGGAGCGCCGGCACCGCACATGGACTAAGGCTTGGCTGGATCAATTGCTTCTCTAGTAGCTCATCAACAATTTGCTGCAGGATTTGATGCTCTTTGGGGCTCATTTTGTAGTGAGGCATGTTCGGCAAAGTTGCTCCAGGCGTAAGCTCAATCTGATGCTGTATTGCTCTCATGGGTGGTAACTCTGCAGGTAGTTCTGTCGGACAGATATCAGGAAATTGCTGCAACAATGATTTAATCTCAGCACACATTGGTTCTTCCTTAGTAGCATGGTTCTGTTCGGCAACTATTAAAGCCATAATGCACATTGATTCACGCCAAGCATTGACTAATGCTTTTCCGGA